GGGGGGGGGGGGGAGAAAAAGAACCGGGCTGCGGAGCCAGTCTCGGGAACCCCGTGTCCGAGCAATAATTGTAAAAGTTGTCATGTCTCTCATTTTCGGTGTTTGTCCATCTTGTCCAAAGTTTTGTTGCCCTCCCCCGGGCTTTGTTCTCCAGAACTCATGTACATTTTGTCTACAACCTTTAATGCTTCGTTCAGGTAGTTTTGCATAGAGGTCATGGCGGCGCAAATGGCGGCGCTCCCGAACCCGTGCGTGATGAGGCTGAAGTGCGACAAGCAGCTTTGGATCCCGGGTTCCAGAAGGGGGCTTGGTCTGGCGTTGCCGATGGGCGTTCTGTCCTGGGTGAGAAGGTCTGTGAATTCTTTGCAGATCTGCCTATTATAGACAAAAAATATATATATTTTTAGCAGGTCTGAGCAATTGAGGAGTCAAGATGTAAAAATAAAAAAAAATAAAAACTTTCCAAAAATTAAGTCTATTTTTAGAACATAAAAAACAGATTTAAACCAGAAAAACCTTTAAAAAAAATAAAGAAAGCCTCAAAAACGAAGAAAAAAAAAAAATCTTAAAAAGCGTGATTAAGTCGACATTAAAGTTGCAACTTACCACGGCCACCACTGTTGGCAAAGCTCCTCCAGGGTGTCACCGTTTTCCTTTGATGGGTCCATACCACCAAAAGTACTTTCTCAGCATGCCAGGAGACATTACAGGCCACATTGTTGCTTAGCTACATAAGGGGTACCCAGTCCTGGTCTTACAAAAGGGGGCACAGCAGTGATCAGCTGACTCCAAGTTTAAAACAGTCAGAACCCGAATCCGAAGTGTAACCACCCAACTCCAACGAAAAGCCACCAAACCACCCATCAGTTGCCTTCAGTATAATAAAGTTGTAGTACTTTTTTTTTTTTTCAGGGCTACAAAAGCCATGCGTTTCATTGATGGAAGCAGTTTTCAACCAAATAAAATTTAGGTAATGTACCTTATAAAAAGTAGCTGCAAAAATGAAAATGCCCCAATTTAAAATAAATATAGATATATCCATAATTATTATTTTTTTAAACCAAACAGGGTCTAGACAATTTTTGAACATTTCACTGTAAGGTTCACCATCCCATAGATGCCGGCCTCTGAACCCTCTCCTAGACACCTATGCTCTTAATTTTCTTTCCAATGTGGTGGGCAAAACCGGCCCCCATAGTCCAAAGTTGGTCTTAAAAAAATTTTTACACAGAGGTTGTGTCCTACCGATCACTAATAAATAAATGCAAATCTATATATTTATTTGGTAGGGAAGGGTATGCATGTGCGTAAAAAAATAAAATATATAGATTTGTATTTATTTATTAGGGAACGGTAGAACACGACCTCTGTGTAAATCATTTGTAAGACCACCTTTGGACTATGGGGGCCGGTTTTGGCCACCACATTGGAAAAAAATACTTGATTAACATGATAATCATATTATGTTTTATGAAAGCTAATGCATTAATATATCGATCCAAGGAACACATCCTACCTCCTTTGAGGAGCCGGCTAGGAAGGAATTTATTTTTCCCCCACCTTTAAAATTGGCAACAGTTGCCCCAGGGGTGGAGGGGAGGGGGGGTTGCCTGCAGAAGTAGCGAGACGACTTAACCTGGACATCTGTCTTTTTACAATCGTATTAATTAGGCAGTTATATATATTTGAACTACAAAATAGATTCTAGCAATTTGTTCAATGGGATGCTCGAGGGCAGGTACTCGGGTTCACTCTCCTTCTTTGCCCTTGGACACCAAAATGTATCTGATGAAGTACGTTGGCATCCACCTACCCGAGATTTATAGCCGTTCTAAATAGGGCAGCATATAAAAATGATCATTATAACGGATCCAGAATCCCTTGTAATACTTGTTGAGCTGCTTTATTTATTGCTGGCCTTACTTCCTGCAGTAGGCTGGCTTATGTAACAATCAAATCTTAACATTTTTTTTTTATAATAGTAACAAATTTTGGTAAAATTTGATAATACAATACATTTTATTAAATGGAAACCTTGAACAAATGTTGCCATCTTTTTCATATTAGGATATATTATATGAAGTTTAAATGTAGATTCATATTTTCTGGGGGAGAAGTGAAGCCCCAGAGGCAACCAGGTGTAGAGACAAACATTTTTGTGCGTGTATTTTACAGCTGGTCCGCCTGGGGAGGGGACGAAATCCAGAAGGTAGTAGACACATTGTAGAACTCTACAACAACTACTTTTTAAGAATCGATTGAGCACTTTTGGCTCTTGTGGAATTTTTTATGCATCGGAACGTGCTGGAATTGTTCTAACAAGTATTATTTTTTCCGAGAGTCAAAACGCACAAGAAAAATAATTTATTTTCAATGTGGTGCATCCCAGTCGGAAAACCTGACCTCGGAATGTAATAAAATGCAGGACAACCGAGATAAAAGGCTCGAGCTTTGCGAGGATCGGCATTCCATAATCACTTAGCAAGTCATCACACTGTCCACAAATAACTTAAAAAATGTTTTCTTACTTGACGTATGTGCCAAGGATTGAGGGAATATGCGCCAAGGACTGAGGGAATATATGGAAGCTGTATTGGCAGGTCTTTATAATGTAGGAGCAGTGGGTATGCCAGCTTGAAGGTGATCCATGATTGGCTGTGCTTGATATTTTAGGCAGACTTTCCGTGTCACCTCTTCTTGGAAGCATCTGGCTGGACATACCTGGAGATAAATCCTGCTACCTATACATAGAGATAAACCCCGCTACTTCTACATAGAGATAAACCCCGCTACTTCTACATAGAGATAAACCCCGCTACTTCTACATAGAGATAAACCCCGCTACTTCTACATAGAGATAAACCCCGCTACTTCTACATAGAGATAAACCCCGCTACTTCTACATAGAGATAAACCCTGCTACCTATACATAGGGATTAACCCTGCTACCAATACATAGAGATTAACCCCGCTACCTATACATAGAGATAATCCCTGCTACCTATATATAGAGATAATCCCTGCTACCAATACATAGAGATAAACCCCGCTACCTATACATAGAGATAAACCCCTCTACCTATACATAGAGATAAACCCCACTACTTCTACATAGAGATAAACCCCGCTACTTCTACATAGAGATAATCCCTGCTACCTATACATAGAGATAATCCCTGATACCAATACATAGAGATAATCCCTGATACCAATACATAGAGATAAACCCTGCTACCTATACATAGAGATAATCCCTGCTACCTATACATAGAGATAATCCCTGCTACCTATACATAGAGATAATCCCTGCTACCTATACATAAACAAGCATTCTGAGGGAACCAATATATATCTCTCTCCCACTCTCCATCTCAGTAGGTCGAACCATTACCAAAATTTTAACTATCCAACTTATTGCCCAGTTTACATGGCAGCGACACTGGGCACCAACCAGATTTCAAAACATTAACCAACATAAACCCAGCAAATAAATAGTCTGGCAAGCAATATCATGACCTTTCGTACCTGAAGTGGGAATGGGTCAATTCTGCCATGCATCCTCTTAAAAAAAACCCACATACCAACAACCTAAGCAAATGAAGCATGTAAATCAGGTGTGGCCAAACTCTGGCCCTCCAGCTGTGGTGGAACTACAAATCCCATGAGGCATTGCAAGATTCTCACAGCCACGACTCCCGGAGAGAGATGCATCATGGAATTTGTAGTTTCACCACAGCTGGAGGGCCAGAGTTTGGCCACCCCTGCTGTAAATGAACGAGGACCCGAAAAAGCTTAAATCATGTTTTTCTATGGAGTCTTTTTTATATATTTTGAATATGGATGTGGATGTGGATGTGGATGTGGAT